CCCGCGCCCCTCGCCCTCGCTGTTGGCCCGTCGCGGTTTCCAACCAGACCCCACTCGAGGGTGCCCGCGAGACCACCGCCGCGCCCACACGTTCTAAAGCAAACAGGAAGATTCCCAGAAGGAAACTGTGAATGCTTCTGATTTAGCAATGCTGTGAATAAAAGAAAGATTTTATACCCTTGACTTCACTTTTTAACGAAGTTGTTTATTCCAAAGAGTGTGGAATTTGAGTTTGGGGGCGGGGGGAATGCAACTCATCCTGCATCTGATTCTTACTAATTTTCTTTTCCGCACCTTATAAATTGCAAAATGCGTATTTGCATTTGGGTGGTTTTTATTTTTATATATATCTATAAATTTGAGCTTGCTTCTTTCTTGCTTTGACAATTGAAAGAAATATGATTCCCTTTTCTGTAAGTTTTATTTAAGTCCAAAGTCTTGGACTTTTGTGTAGTTGGTTTTTGGGGGTTTTTTTTTTTTGTTTTTTTTTTTGAGAAACAGCTATAGCTTTGGGTCATTTTTAACTACTGTATTCCCGCAAGGAATCCCTGGATATTTATGTATCTTGATGTTCAGACATTTACTTATGTGTTGATACTTTTTTAATTATTTAAATGTACTTATATTAAGAAAAATATCAAGTACTACATTTTTTTTTGGTTTGTTTTTTGATAGTAGCCAAAGTTATAAATGTATCACTTTGAAGAAGGCTGGAAAAAAAAAAAAGGATGGTTAATGTGATCACTTGGTTATCCAGAAGTATTGTTTACATTAAACTCCCTTTCATGTTAAACAAGTTGGTAGCTAATGAAGCAATGTTTTTAACAGGATATTTAGATACTGAGGGCCACTTCAAGGATCAAAATGATGGAATTTTCTACCAGGCTCAACAAAGTTCTTATATCTGGCTCTCCCTTCAAACAGAGAAGGCCAAATCTGGTCCCAAAGGGTTCAGGCTGGTGCCAGTGATTACACCTTTGGAGAGGATTTAATTTCTACCTGGGGATTTGCTCACTCCGTGGCCTTGTGATAATTTCATGTATGCTTTGTAACAACACATCCAATGTAAACTGTGTAGAGGAGCATCATTTACATAGGAATCAAGCGAATGAATTTAGGGGCTACAGTTGTGGCAATATGCAATCCTCCAGAAGCAGGCCTGAAGGAGCCAATTTCTCTCTGTATGCCTAAGTGGAGGCGCTTGGGAGAACAGCGTCCCACCTGTCCTGGACCCAAATCCCATGTTCTTACTCAACACCATCTTGGTGTTGCTTACACCGGGCTGAGCCCTACCCTATGGGGTGTGTGCACTTCTACCTGTGCACCAGCATGACAGGAAAGATCCATGTCACTGCTGTCCATGGCTATAATTCAAAGGTATCCAATGTCACTGTAAATTTTTATGGCACTATTTTTATTGGAGGATTCGGTCAGAATGCAGTTATTGTACAACTCATAAATACTGCTGATTTTGACATATGTGTGCTCAAAATGATCTGGTTGTTATTTAATGTAGCTCTTAAAAATTAGTTGAAAGAATTTCAGGTCAACTCTGAAGAGTATTTGAAAGCAGGACTTCAGATCAGTGTTTGATTTTTATATTATAAATTTAAACAATCAAATTAGACAAATCTTTGGCTGCAGGCAGCAAAACAGCTGGACTTATTTAAAACAACTTGTTTTTGAGTTTTCTTATATATATATATATATTGATTATTTGTTTTACACAGATGCAGTAGCACTTTGGTAAGAGTTAAAGAATAAAGCCGCTTGTGTTGTCAAGGCGTTCTTATCTAGAGAAGAGCTATAGAAGATCTTGGAAAAACTCAGAATATATTTATTTTCATCTGAGACATAACTCTCTCCACAATTCAGTTTCATATGTTATTCAATATCACATTTTTGCAGCTAAATTACCATCAAATCTCAGAAAAATTAAAAATTTAATTTCCAAAAAGGACCATTAGCCCATTTCCCCAAAAAATGAACTTAAATATTCTTTCCAGCACACATTGCCATATCTGACCTGAGAAAATGCTGGGGGAAAATGAAGGAAAACATTTCTATTTTTCAGTTCAATTCTGGTAGCTGAAGATATTCTAACTGAAAACCGGCCTAGCGCCCCACGAGGGAAATCAGATCATCTTTAACATTGAACCTTCACTCTTGAAGCTATGTACGGAGACAGCTTGTCACTTTGTTGTAGACTCACTAGTTTGGTCATTCAGAGCTTCACTGGCTCTTACCAGCATATATGGTATTGAATTGTTTCAGAAAAAAAAAGTCAAACCTTAGCTATTTTGGAGATTGGTTTCAGTAAATTTTATTTCCCTGGAGGAATTGTGTTTGTTGCCTTTAGCATTCTTTTTGAATGAAGGTGTTTTTTTTTTTTATTCCTTGCCTTAAGGTAAATTAAGATATTCATGAGACCTTCAAGTTGATCATATAATAATTGGATGTATCTGGGAGCACTGGTCCAAGAGAAGAAAGATTGAATAAGCTACTTCTTCTGCTTATTCATAATTTATTTATGATTTTAACATGGACGCATATTTCAGTTCTTTCTGTTTTTCTCAATATCTAAAATACATTTCTCCCTCTCTGCCTCCCAATATCTCCCTCTTTTGCGCTCCCCCTCTCACCTTCACACCCCGCTTTCTCCATCCTCCATTCTCCCACATTCTGTTAAGGAGATAGCATATACCCCCCACCCCAATACCCAATGTCCACAACACAAGATCAGTTCTTCTCACTTTGCATAAAGGAACATGGTGAGCCAGCCTTTCTCCTGCATAGGTTTCTTCCAGCAGGACAGAGGCATCGCCAACCTTTTTGGAACTGCTTGATCCCAAATGCAGCGACAAAAACCTTCCCGGGCAAATTACAATCAGTGAGTAAATAGCCTTTCTGCTGCTGAGGGTTTCTGTACAGACAAACAGAAATGCTCTGATTGGAAAGGAAATGAATGGTTTCACTCAAATGTCCTGCAATTTAAGATTGAGATTTTTGTCTTGAAATACCTGTTTCCTTGGGACATTCCGTCCTGGTGATTTTTATTTTTGGTGGTTTTTATTTTGGGAGGAATGACATGTTAGGGGTCCTTTTATACATAAAAATTGGTTTTTCAGTAATCTCAGAAAATATTTTTTACATCTGAACAAAATGCCTTTTTGTTTACCCTAGCATACGCATTTGTTTGGGGTTTTTTGTTTTTTGTTGGGAATTTTTTTCTCCCTTTTAGCCAGGTCAGTGTTGATGAGGCTGACTGTTAACTTTGTTTTTTTTTTTTTCCCAGAAGAGTTGCATCAACAACATTAATTGTATTTATGTATGTAAATAGATTTTAAGCTTCATTATAAAATATTGTTAATGCATATAATAATTTTTTTTCAATTTTTTTTGTGTGTGTTTCTAAGGACCTTTTCTTATGTTTGCTAAATACTGTAGGAAAAAGTTGCTTCTTTTTACTTTGTTTATTTTAGACTTAAAAACAAGCTACTTATTCACTTTTGTAAACCGCTAATAGCATGGCTCCAAGTTTTTTAAAAGTTCATTTTTTTGTTCTAGGGGAAATGAATGTGCAAAAAACAAAAAATATTACTGGTTATTTGTGTTATTCTGGATGTATAAAAATCAATGGAAAAAAATAAGTAAGTTTCCAAACTGAAATTATAATATAACACAGCTATCCAAAAAGCAACAGAAAACATAGTCATACTTAAATAAGCCCCCAAGTGTCTACTTGTGTGGCAATTATTAGGTCTTGTCACAAAGCATCCTGAACATTTCTACGTGGGTTTCAGTCTTGCTGGTACTAACATTATCAAACACTTCCCAAAGGAGAACTGTCAAACTTGTGTCTTAAACCAGATAAGATTTGAGGGACTACCCCAGAACCCCTCCCCACAACCTCCAAGGTGTTTCTAGACAGCACTAAAGAGCAGGCACTCCATTGTATGCAGTCCACTGTACACAGTCAGGGCGGGCGCCACCCCTCCTCCGGGAGGATTCGTCATGCCCAGCCTGTGCAGGGCAGCTGGACTGCTGCTGCCCAGGAGCCATTGGAGCCTTACTTTCTTTGTACCACAGTTCCTTCTGTAAATCCAATGTTATAACAAGTGTGAACCGCAAATAAACAGCTTGACAAGTACATGACACCATATCAAATTGGTTTTGTCTCTCTCTGAGCTGGAGGCCGGGTTGTCAAGTGGAGCCCACTGCAACACGCCATGAAGGCACCTCTAACAAACAGCAGCAGGCTGAAGCTGTGCCCTAACTCCAGGCCATCTAGCATACCCTGGCTTCTGAGGGTAGAATGGCCAGGAAGGCCCAGGTTCCTGGGGGCTGCTGCTTCACCTATGAAGGAGCACTGAAACAAGTTCTCGTGCATGTTTTGTAAAAAAGGAAAACTAAAACTAAAATGAGCTACATGAGATCAGCAAACACAAAGTGGAATGCCGTATGTTCACCCTGGGGCCGCTGACTCCCATCTGCCTTCATTTCTGCCAGTTACAGGAGCCAGGCTTGGGCAGTAGTTGGGACTTTTATAAAAGAAATTCTTCCTTCACCACTACACCTACGCAAAATATTGTTCATATTTCACTCTCAGGACTCTGTGTGTGCGAGTATGACCCAAGTCAACTTCCAACAACCACTATCTAAAGCTTCTTCCACTCTGTCACTGCCGTCTCATGGGACCTCATGACTGATCTTCAGTGGTCTTCAGGGTGACCATAGGAAATGGCAGGACCAAAGCAAGTGGGGTCAACAAGAAAGGATCTGACCCAGGAAGTAATGGCTAAGGGGTTGGAATGGGGGCGAGGTCAGGTTAGGCATGCCCGTGGTAGAGCTCAGGAACAAGACAACAGAGACTCTCCAGGTACGTGTTTGATTGCCCCTGTCCACAGCAGTTTTTATGAA